ACTCCAAAGGGGCAACTCCAGCTGTACTGTTAAGTCTCATTGTCAGTGGGACGGGTGATCGACTACTTCTGGCTGTTTCCTTTCCCCCAAAGAAAATTTTCAGTTTATAACTTGAGCTGAAGGTGAAGGTTGACCAGCTGTGCGCCTGTAGCTGCAGTCAGAGAGCTTGCCTGTGACCACACTGTTAGGCTGTGGATCAAGGGACATGCCTTATCTACATCTCAGTTTGCCATTTATAGCCCTTACCCTTTACGTCTAATGACCTGGACCATGGAAGTGGAAATAATGCAAATTACATTTCCATGGAAATCTCTCTCTCTCTCTCTCTCTCTCTCTCTCTCTCTCTCTCAAACACAAAGTGTGAGGTGTGAGCTTACATGTTTGTGCAGTGGAGTTTGTTTTCCCCGTGTGGGGGCGTGTCCCTGGAAGTGATGGGACTGCAGTTAAAGTCCACAGTGAAACGGCGTTTTCTTAATTTGACACCTTTTCCGCAGACTATTGATTCGGCTCCACCGGTCACCTCACCCTTGGTTGCTGTGGAATGTGTGGGGTGGATGTATGTGTGAGTTCACCTGCATATGTACACACACACACCCACACACCTACACACACACACACACACACACACACGTCCAGGTGCAGCGGCAAGGCTCGATGAATAAATGAGGTGAGCAGTGCGAGAGGAGTCAAAGCATTTTCATTTTCAGTGTTCGTCGCTCGCTGAATGTCAGTGTTGGACACTGTGCTCCAGCCCTCTCACAGATAAGATAAGAACCACATGCTCTTCCCACCTCCTGGCAAAGGGAGTCCCAGGCGGACCTGCTGACGCACGCACCCAGCAGCCTCCTCCCTCCCCCCTTTCCTGCCTCAGCCTCATGTCAGGAAAGTGAAAAGTAGTACCTTGGCAGCTTGCCCTTGACTCTCTGCCAGAAGGAGTGCGCTTCAAGAGAAGTGGTCTTTTCCCTTTTTCTCTCATGTGCATTTTTCATCTATGTGTTGCAGAGGAGGAACATCTTGCTCGCTAAACGTCGGCACTGCCAGGGTCGGCCTCTGCTGTTGACATTGCCGCTCATCATCGTCTGACAGGAGTGCTGAAGACACACGTTCATTTCGGTTCAGGCGCTGTCACACTGATAGCTAACTGCTTCATCATGGGAAAAAAGAGATGAGTGATGGAGATAGGGTGGAGCTGCTTGTTGTTCTTAGCAGCTGTGCAAATGATCCTTTATCTGCATTTGTCAGTTTATTGTTAAATACTTTTCTTTGGCAGTCCCTCAGGGAATTCAACCAATCCTCATATTACTTTATAGAGCTTGTAATTTTGTTGAATTCTTGCAGCAAAACAGTTTATATAAAATAAAAAAAATCTTGCACATTTATTCATTTACAACTCCCCGTTTCCGTGTAAAACACTGATTAACCTAAATAACATGTTAAATGAAGTGAACCTTAACTACAGAAAGCACCTTTCTTCCATTAACTTCTCTCAACCGAGAAGCCTTGTTAAACAGCCTTTTCCTCCTGTTGTATAACACACAACAAGCTTTACCAGCAAACCAGCTCTACCCTCACGCCTCAAACTAACCGTTCTATTTATGGAAGCTTGCTGGGAAGGGGGTTTGCCTGAATTAACCTGACGGGATAAATTCAGGGCAAAAAGTAGCTTAAACTGCATTCATAATGAAATGTGATTCTGCACTGAAACTTAACACAACCTATTAATTGTATTTTTGTGTTCTGATTGTCAGTGTAGATTTCAAATACAACCACAAACTCTGAAAAAAAATTGTGCAAACGTGTTCCGTATTGCAGTATAAATTGAATTCATCCAATATCACTTATGACCATCTATTATTTTTAACTGTTTTAAAGCATAACTTAATGTCAGGCTGACCACACCCAGCCTGACTGATGTGTTTGTTCAGAAGCTCAATCGCACCTCTAACCTTTAACTACTCCCACAGTGTCCTGGTGTGCACCCGTACGTCACCGTCACAAGGTGATAAGTTCAGCCCCTATAGTTGAAGATCTTTGGGTCATAAAATTAGGGGGGGGGGGGCAGAAAACATCGTTTTCACTTATTGAAAAATTGTAATGCATATTAATATTTTCTGCCACTCTATACACTAAATAATTAGTGAATCATTAAAAAAATAAGAATTTGATTCAAATATTAGTGATAAAAATCTGCTGTTCATCCCTTCATTCAGCCTCTATTTACACTCCAGGGATCCTTGAGGGCCGA